ATGTCTCAGAGGATTTTGAGGATAAGATCTCTGGGCAACGAGTGATGACTTGTCGGCCGCTAGAATAGAAATGGCGCTCAGTGTTATAGCTCTATTAATCGTGGGTGAGATGGGGTGAGTATCACCTATAACGGATCGCAGTAACCGATCAACATATTTGAAACGGTACTAGTAGCCAGATGAATATCACAGTCCAGATTGGATACATTATTGAGGCTCGATAATTTTGAATAAGTAAAATGCTCGTCCTTGTTACGGTGAAGATTACACCCGTGAGCTACCATCATGGTGGTTTTCAAGTCCAGTTTTTTATTATTATCATTGTTATTGTCAGGTTCTTTATCTAATTTAATTGGAGTTCTTTTTCCTCCTCTTCCAACAAAGATTGGCAAACCACTCGGCTTGGATAAGTCAACCAAGGTTTGATCGCACGACGTGTTCAATAGAGAGGTGGCCAAGGGCCCCATGTTCATCAGAATCGCATTGACGATCGAATTGAATATCGCCTTTCGTCTTTAGAGACGAAATAGAGTTTCTCGGCGTTTGGCGATATCGAGGCGAGCGTATGAACGATGGAATGACTCGCTTTCAAGGCGTGCGACAAGGCGGGATCGTGACACCTATTGACGACCGAGCGGAATTTATCGTTGGCGAGACCCGGGCAGTTGAAGAGTTCGGAGCTCGGCACCAGAATGGTACCCGGATTAATAATATTACAACCTTTATTAATACTGTCGTTCAATCCCAATAGAGACGAAATGTTGGTAAAAGCGGCTACTCTCTGCCTGAACTTGAAAGCAATCTTTTTTATTATGCTATTGTTACTCTCGAGCAGAGTGAGTACCGACGAAGCAACGTTGCCATCGCCACCCGCCAACCCGCTGTCGTCTGCCCTGCTTTCGTCCACGAGAGCGGCAGCGTAAAGAGCCGTCAGCTCTTTGTGGGATCGTTCCGTGTTGAAGACGAAGGAGTGCTCAGACTCGTGAGTCGGCGTGTGGATATTAAAGAGGATCATGGCGCATCTTTCACACAGACCCGGTATGACGGTCGACATGGTATTTTTAGCATCCTGCGTACCCTGCGCTTTTAAGATTGTATCTGCCATGTCCGTTATTGCCAAGAGTTGTAGATCGGGTCTAATCGCAGCTTGGCTGGAAATGGGCGATCCTCCACCACCACTCGAAAAGAAATCCTCCGTCAACGAGATGGTTTGGTGGAGAGGGCTCAAAAAGCAATTAAAGGGCAAGGTGCTCGTGAATGCTGTTGATGATGATGAACTGTCAACGACGCGTGGTTTATCACGGTCCTGTTGTGGCTTTGATGTTTTTTTCTTCTTTTCTTCTGTCATGCTCATCCTCGACCTTCTCCGATATCGCGAAAGGCGGCCGCTTTGTCAAAGGTAGTAGAGATCCGATGTTTTATATCTTCTAGTTCTTCCTGATCTTGATTTAATTTAAACTTAAGGTCACTAATGATACCTTTATTCATCTCGATCGTTTTATCGAATTCTTGTATATTTGACTTTAACTTTTCGGATAGAGTGTTTATGAAATATTCCGACTTGTTATTTATCTCGATAATTGTATTCTCCTTTTATTTTTAATTTCAGTCAATTCTTCATTTCTAGTGATTATTATCTCGATTATCCTGTTCAAGATCTTAATGGTTTCCGATAAGTAATTTATTCTTTCCGATCGTTTATGTGAAAGCTTTTTGCTTCGACGGTGTGTTTTTTCCCTATCCGCATTTCCCTCTTCATCGCTAGTATCCTCCTCCTCATCATCATCATCGTCGTCGTTGTTATCTTGTACGTTACCATAGTTTTTCTTATAAACAGGATGCTGATGAATAATGTTCGACACCTTATCCTCGATGCTTTTATCGTCTTCACTGTCGACGCCTTTATTGTTTTTAACAAATTCTAATATAGAATCCAATAACGGTTTATCTCGAGTATTAATCAAATTATCATATTGATAATATCACTGTCCTCAAGGTAGGTATTGTCGCCAGACTGATATCTTTGTGTTTGTCGAGTTCTTCTTTCAAATTATGAATAAAATTGTTAATTTCCGTTATCTTATTATCGTTGGCTATCGCCATGTGAACAATCTTTGTCATCTCTTTATTTTCAACATCAACTTTAGCATCACGATCGGCCTTTGCATTTTCAATGTCTGATAGGGTATCTCGTGATCGTTGTACGTTGGAGTCGTTTTTGGCGCGATCTAAAGATGTAGAGATCTCCTTTTCCAACAAAGGTAATTTCTTAAAGAATATCGATATAACCTCCATCATTTGTTTAAATTCATCTATGAAAGCATTATTACAAATAAGGAGCGGGATTCGAATTTCTGGTTTGGTCAGAGCTACTCTCACTGCTTCAATATTGACTTGTTGTTTATTGGATCCGATAGCTTCGCTTCTTATTTTATCAAGAGCGGAGAGGATCGTATTACTTAAATCACTATTCTCACCGCTTTATAAAATCTATTTTAGTAGTAATGTTTGTCGAGGGAAGTGTGTATTGCTCAATGTTGGTCGCGATACTCGTTAGGTTGGTACGAGCATTTTCTTTATATGAAGCCAGTTGAGAAAACTCATCTATAAGAGTCTTCGAAAGCGTTTCTTTGTATATACCGGTTACGATCTCGTCTCTCTGAGCATTTTGTATCATGGTCTCCATCGTATCTAAAGCTTTCTCGATTTCGCTTTTGGCTATTCTCAGATTCTCGTATTCTTTTGTGTTGGAAGGTTTTAATTCATTAACTGCACTCTCCATTACCGTATCGCGTCCCAGCGCTTTCCTAACATTATCATCATCTCTGTTCGCTTCTTTGTTTGACGACGATGACACGACGTTATTTTCTGTTGTCGCCGTCGCCGTCGGCGTATTACCGGAGGAAGAAGAGGACGATGGCGAATTTTCGAGTCCGTGAAACAGAGCGGCGTCCTCGCGACCGAGTTGGTAGAAAAGTCCGAGTTAGAAAAGAGGCTAACGAGATTCGCAACCATTAAAATTTAAATACTGATAAGCTTTGCATATAGGGCCTGAAGTAAATCTTATTGTGATTAATGGATGTTCTATAATGTCATGACACAGACAATGTAGACACAGTTCTAGTGCGGATGCATTTGTCTATTATACGTATTTATCAATTTCCTTTATTTCTATATACTCTGCAGTATCGGTTTATTGGTGCTATATTGGTCGTTAGGCATCACGGTTAAGCAGGAGATATTTACTACGCGGATTCTCCTTCGCCACCACAGGAATTTACGATGACATCGCTTTCTTCGCACTATGCTATAACTTTTTTTTAATTTTGGAGGGTCGATGTCAGCTGCAAAAGGACGGCCGTCTCGGTGAGTCATAGGGTGTACTTTACCCCTCCTTCTCATTTCCTCTTTTTTTTTTTATCCTCTACTCTCGCAGCCCATGATTGTGTTTTGTGAGTTGTCTAACTACGTTGATATTCACGATTCATCTAAAATCTGTTCCTCGAAAATGTTGCCTTATGTCTCCAGTATCTAATCACATACGCTGTATTACATTCTCGCTCTTCTCTCACTGCCAATCAGTCCACCGATTCGTGGAGCCGAACCTTCGTCACGGCAGGAGCATCGTCTCTCGCGCGTTGGCCTGCGAGTGGGGCTTATGGACTCCGAAAATGGTCAGGATGGAGTAGTCGCCCTACTCTCGGACACTCATTGCGTTCCGGTACGTAAGGAATGATAGAGTAGCACGCAAGTGCCCATCGGGTAATCCTCTGCTCCTGCCAGTCTTTTAAGCCTGCCTGCCTAAAGACTGGCATGCCGTGTGCTGAGCTTTTAAGGCATTCAGTGCTCTGAATTGGGTGATGGCTGTGTGGGTTGTCAGTTGATTTTTGGCTTTTTGGGTGCAAGATGGCTATCAGGGTGCCCTTGGGTTTGAATACTAATTGATCTTTTTATTATCATTTTGTGAGGAAGAGAGAGAGGANTCTCCTTATCTAAAGCCTCATTCTTATCTAAAAACACCACCTCCTTATCTAAAGCGAATTTCATCGAATTCGTTCTTCCGTCTCTGGAGAAGGGCTGAGCAGACACAAGCGACACGGCCAACCTAACATTACTATTATATGCATTACTTGTAACAGGCGCTATGTAGTAGATAAATATCACGACGACATATTCTTCATAATTACGATTATTAACAATATTGTATACTTCACCAATGTTTAATGCTACAGAAGCGTCAATAGGATCGACGCTTTTTATCTGGTCCATATTCATAGGATGACCAGGATACCTTTTACCTCTAATTGTGTTCACGATATTATCTGCCTCGTCGTTCAATATGTCGAGTACCCCCGTCTCTGGTGAGGAACAGCTGTTAATGAAAAAATTGCCACCTTTTTTCTTTCTTATTGTGGGGTACTCGCGATGTTTTCTCTCAAGACATTCCAGTATGATCCGTTCTTAAAATAACTGACGTTGATTGTAGGTCGTCTGGGTCATCATCAGTAATATTATATCTTGGCAGATTATGTTTAATAATGTCCAGTTTACTCGATAGCATAGTTAGTTTCTCCTTATTGGAGCTCACGGCATGATAGCTTATTAAAATATAGAATATGACAAGAATATAGATAATAGCGAGTCCTGCTAGAATAAATATTGTTATTTTGTCCATTTTACCCAATGATCTTATTCTGTATTAATTATTTGAGTATATATTCATAATAAAAATTATTTACAATTTTAGTGTAACAAAATCGTCTTAACAATTCCTAATAAAATCCTACATATATTACACTACAAGAGTATCGATGATAGCGAGTCTTATTAGAACAAGTATCGTTATGATATCCATTTACCTTTTTTTTTAAAGTAATAATATTGTTTTAACAGATTCTATAAATTCCTGCGCTGACGACCACTGTCAATGTACTGTTCTGACGATTCCTTTCTATCTCGCCGAAAGCGATCTTGTTGGACGCGATAGAGTCTCTATAATTATGGTCTTAGGTGGTGTTGAGATGAAGAAGAGTCTGGTATGGTTTGGTAGAGTCTTCCAGTAATCTTCGTCAATGATGGTTTCATCAAACAATGTTACCTTTATAGAACTTGTATCTTTTATGCCCAGTTTTGCCGCACCTTTTTCTATGAAATCCTGGAAGCTCTCGGCTACGACTCCGTAACGAAGTTTGCGGTCTGCTGACCAAACTTTAATCGCCTTCCTTTCCATTATGTTTTGTTCTGTTCTTTTACATCAATCAGTTACATCTTATACACATATATCTATGTATATTGTTTATGTTAACTCTCACGAATAGAGAAAATTCCAAGATTATCTTTTTTCCTTTAATTTTTTGTCGATTTCTGAGGAGTTTCTTTATAGTCAGTCTATCTGTTTGTCTGTAGTTAGATAGACAACAATGACATTTATCTGATTGTATTCTTGTCATGTACGACAAATGATTGACTGGTTGAATAAGCTGAAGAGGTGTATTATTAATTTCTGAAACACAGTCATTAACATGACGTTGGGCTGCATCTAGTACAAGGGCTTGCTCATAAATACCGTCCAGATCAAGAATTTTTTATTCTCTAAAAAGATGTTACCTTATCAGGGGGGTGAAGCGACACCGTTGATGAAAGCATCACGGAAGAATTCTTAACGATATTTTTCTACAGTCTATATCATCTTGAAGTTACGATCCTTTCTTATTTATTTTGAGTTCTTGTAAATATTTTTCTAGAGATTCGTTTAAGTTTTGTTTCCTATTTAAGTAACAAATACCACCCTCTCCTAATATATAATATATATATATATATATATATATATATATATATATATATATATATATATATATATATATATATATATATATATATATATATATATATATATATATATATATATATATATATATATATACAGTGTGTATATGTTAATAATACTCACTTACCAAAGTCGCTTTGCATACTTTTCTTGCATGTTTCTCTTGAAAATTTTCCTTTCATATCTATTTTCAATCTCTTGAGCTTGCAAAGTGTTATCTATACTATTCCTAATTAACCGAGGTACCGATAATACTGAAGTTAAGGTATTCCAGTATTTACCCATGGTTAAACAACAGAGACGTTCTAACGACGAAACGTTATTCCAAGACCTTTGTATGTTAATGTCGTCGTTGAACACTTTCTTAAATATTGTTTCACGTTCATTGTAAGAAGATATTATGGAATCCATAAAACGCTGCGTGTCATAAGTTAAGATAATGCTACTTTTTATTAACCTATTATCAAAATACATTATCTCTACATATAGCGGTCTTCTTCTATAATGCGTTCTTAAAAGAAAACAAATATTGGGTGCGGATATACTCCCATTAGCAGCATAATAATAAATGCGATCTACGGCTATTGACTCGGTCAAAAACCGACATCTCCTCTTCACTTTCCCAGTATTTTCGCTCGTCGGAAAATGTTATTACTTTAATCTCGCGTCGTTTTAGTAATCCGAACCAGAAGTCTATATCGACATAGCTGTCGATAATTCCATGGGAATAAAGAAACAGATGCATTAATATTAAGAGAAATCTACTTTTATCTATTTATTAACATGTTTGAATCTTTTTCTTTCCACTCACTGTATCGGTTTTCCGTATTAAGGAGGTCGTTTGTTTCCTCAGCTTTTTGTTGTGTTTAATTCCGGTAATGACGAGAAGATATTTTTGCTTTAATTGTCTATTCATTTTATAAATATATATATATATATATATATATATATATATATATATATATATATATATATATATATATATATATATATATATATATATATCGGGGTGGATATATTCTTTACCGTTTAATACTCGTGTTTCTTCTACAAGAGATACAAAGTCTCTTGTATTAATCAAGGTCTTGTGTTAATCTCTTCATAACGACAACCCATACTTGCCTGCATATAAATAATGTTAGAAAATTTATATGACATTTATATTAATACCGTAATGGTTATAGTGATGAAATAATGGAAACATTTTTATGTGTTATATGAAAGAGGGTTAATTTTGTAGACTAGCATTTTTTTATATATATATATATATATATATATATATATATATATATATATATATATATATATATATATATATATATATATGTATATTTATTTTATTTTTTCTTAATCTTTACAGGGATATTCCAGTCAGGATATATTTGAAGAATATGAATTTAAAAAATAAATATGAGACTCCAGTGAGGATACACTTGAAGAATGTATATGCTACTCTCACCCTTGCTACCATAGCAGCCTCTGTTGGTGGCTATGCCCACATGTTCAGCACATTTATTAGTTCTGGATTCATGACTTTTCTGAGTGCCATTTGGGTATTAATATTACTCATATTTACACCCTATGATGGCAAAAACCAGCTGCAGAGACTTTCTCTCCTTGGTATCTTTGCCTTCTTGACTGGCTGTAACCTTGGCCCATTTTTGAATCTGGCTGTGACTATCAACCCTGCATTGGTAAGTGAATCTATTAAGGATACACATCGTCATTTTATTCATATAGTTATGTCATTAATATTTGAACGTTTAACTATATTTATTTGACTGACTTTTAATTTATTTTATATATATATATTTTTTTATAGGTTTTGCAAGCTCTGCTCGGCGCAAGTGTGATATTTGCTTGCTTCTCCCTATCAGCTCTCTATGCTCCTGATGGTCATTACCTCTATCTTAGAGGTACACTGATGTCGGTATTGTTAACCCTCATTTGGGTTTCGATATATAATATCTTCTTTGGCTCTCAACTCCTTTTTAAGGTAAGTCTAATAATGGAGATTGTCTTTTTTTATTATAAATCAATGAGTATTTATTATTCTGATAATTATTATTTCTATGCTTTTATGTCTGTCTTATTTTTTTTTTTTTAGGCAAATTTGTACATTGGTCTAGCAGTCATGTGTGGCTTTATAGTCTATGACACTCAGTTCATTGTTGAGAGAGCACGCCGAGGAGATATGGACTATGTGATGCACAGTTTGAATCTATTCGTTGACTTTGTTGGAGTATTTTGGCGCCTTCTCATGATCCTTACAAATAAGGTAATTTCTTATAGTATAGAAAATGGTAAACATGTACAATCGCCTTATTACAAATATATGATAAGAGAAGAATTTGCTATGAGTCCATATCCAGTAATTATAGACGTTCAACTAACGTTGTATTTTTTTTTTTTCAGGAGGCACAGAGCAAGAGGAAGAAAAAAAGCTGTAATAAATAAGGAAATATAACATATTACATTACATAATATTGTTTATCGGGTATTTGATATAATATTGCTTATCGAATACTTGTAAGGAATAAACCATAAGGTTATCATGATTTTTTTTAATAAAAATTTTTTGGCAAAATATTTTTTTTATTGACCAGACAAAAAGTATTGTTAATTCTGATTATTTTCATTGAAAAGAAACTTATTTTTGTTAGACATATCCAATAAGTTATTTTGAGACACAGGTGAAGCATTTATTTGAAGATCTACTTTACTGTCATTTTTACTGTTAATCATTTCAAATACATCTCTCTCTTTGTAAGTATTTGACTGATCATGGTCGGGAAGGTAGATGTGTTGATCATTCAATCGGAGAAACAATTCCTCCAGGAGAGAGTCAAAGGAGAGCATCTCCATATTTTTACTCAAGAGGTATATTAAGAAAAGATCGCCAATCTGTAACTTTTTCGAGACGTTTTGGTCCAAGACTTTCTTGTAGTGCAGCATACTCGCAGGCTTTTGGAATAGCAATGTCGACCTGATGACGGGAACGTAAAACATCAACAGACGATAGATAAACGCCGTTATACTAATGACAGTCAATACAATAAACCAAAACCACATTATAACATAAATCTTTTCGTTAATGATATTTAGGGCGAGCACACACATGAGATCGTGGATCTCAACTGTACCCGAAGGCCCATATGTATGAAAGGAACACTTGGTGACTCGCGGAAATATCACAATCATCGGGTCTGTTCATTCTTCTTGATTGGTCTCCGTGAAGCTCAGTACGTCCGTCCCATACGTGAGAAACATCCCAAATAAAAGTTAATAACAACAAATTTGATCCATATCCTTTTGCTGGTTTGTCGATGTATATAATTTTTTGATACAAGCGAGCTTTTTTTTTATGTGAAGTCTTGGCGCGAGTGAATGTCTTTATACTGATATATGTTATTTATTAATAAAGGTTAAGAACAACAAATTTGATCGATATCGTTTTACTGGTTTGTCAATGTATACAGTTTTTCAATACAAGCGAGTTATGTGAGTTATACTGATACATGTTATTTAATGATAAATAAAAACAACAAATTTGATCCATATTCTTTTATTGGTTATTAATACTGGTTTGTCACAAATGTCCTCTGCATACAACACTGTGTGGCCGTGACAAGTTTATTATGCCTTTGTCTCAAACTTTCTAAAGCACAACATATTTCATGTATATAGTCTTGAATTTGTTTCTCCTTCATTTCCAAATCATGAATATGCTTCATCATCACCTCTTGTCGATTCTTCATCACTTCTAGTAATTTGCTATTGTGATTAGGACTGATACAAACATCATATTCCATGTCGTTAGACAATTCAAATTGAATTATTCGAGTGTCTGATTTGCCCTTGGAGTCTTCTTTGTTGGTCAGATGAGTGGGGTTGTTATTTTCTTCTTCTTCAGTAAGATCTATTATATTGAGATTAGGACATTTGACACTAGAGTACGACATCCTTATATAGATAGAACCTTAAAGGCGAATATGATAGTTGATAGCTTTGGTAGACGCTGTTGATGATGCTGATATTATAAAGCGTTTGCTCTGTATCTCATTCAACAGGATATGTACTCTCCTACAATGTTACGTTTTTTGCTTACACCCCCTCCTAAGAGAAGAATTTTTGTTGGTAGAGTCCGTAAGATGACCTTTCTCGTTCAACGGGATATATATATATATATATATATATATATATATATATATATATATATATATATATATATATATATATATATATATATATATATATATATATATACTCTCTCTTCGTATATACTATTATGTTTTTACACTTAATCATCTTGGTGAAAATTGGAGGCAGGAAGAGAGATATATCGAGATATTTTTGTGGCTCATTATCGATTATCAAGTTAGACAAGAATAATATTCTTTAGTCAAGGGAAGGGGGGGGGGTTATGGTAATAAGTATAGAAATATACAAGTATGATGTCTAGAATAGTAAACATATCAATATAAGAATGTATAATAACCTAAAATCACTTAGTTATAAACCCAATATAATAAAATGGACTCTCCTCGGGATATACCAAAATATAAGAAAAAAAAATAACAATGATGCTATTGACGTTGAAAATAAAGGATTGTAGAAAATGTATATATAAAAAATACTATAAAAGATACGATTGAATATGTCAATGAAACCGATTAAAGCTATCAGATAAATGATAATATGTGATTTTATTTATTTATATAATTCAATCCAATACTGTATTCTTTAACTCTTTCTTGACTATATTTGGAAGAAATGATAACAATATTGTATTATTCCTTTATACTTTTTAACACATATACACATATAAACATACATACATATATTGTATTATGGAAAATTAACTCTGGGATAATACATCTTCTCGAGTTGTCTTTTCCTTTTTATTTTTTCCTGATAAAATTTTTCGAATCCAGTAAATCCAGTCGGTATATTTTCTATTTATAAGTAACTCCGGAGGATGTGTTTTCTATTAAATACTTATCAGCAATATATTTCCATACGAAATTGAACCCACAACACTCAGTATACATTATAGGGATATCACGATTATTTATAGTAATATTCATATACTTCATCATTGAAGCCTATAAGAAATGGTATAATATTACTAAATATTTTACGTGTTTTATGTTTATGATTGATTTCTTTTTTATCTTTTTGGTTTAACATGTATTTTAATAAATTTTTCTCTCGAGTCGGTTTTTGATACTAATGTGTTCTTTCAGTTTTCTGAGAACCGATACGGGCATATGTCGCCCGCGCGGAATCGTTCCAGAGCGCTTCTCTGTTAACGGAGACGACTCCAAAACAGAGCTGTTTCAGTGAGGACGGCTGCCGCCGTCTCCATGGCGACGCCATATTGGCATTGTCACCTCCTTCTATAGCATTGCACGCTAGCATGTTTTCAAAGATAAAGTCGCGATCTTCCACCTCCCACGTTTCGTCAACCCCCATACAACAATAGAGGGAAGAATGGTCGTAATAGAACGATATGATCGAGGAAGCGCTGAACGCTGTAGGTTAGAGTGATGCTGCTCTGAAAGGGTCCTCCTCCTCCTCCTTTTCTTCTTCTTCCTCCTCCTCCTTCTTCTTCACCATCACCATCACACCTCCTTCCCGTCATAGTCAGAGCTTCGCTTCCGTTGTCAAAATAAATGATCTCCGCATAGAGGGGTCTGGAACCGCGATGCGTTCGTAGGAGCATGCAGAAATCGAGCGAGTCTCTCCTGTCGAGAATGTAGTACACCAAATCCACCGATTTCGGGTCGATCGAAAAGTTGCGCAGTTCCTCGTCCGTCCAGAGCGAGCGTTTTTCGTCGGGAAAGGTCAGGGTGACAAACTCGCTTCGATGCTCGCGGATAAACTTGTCATTATATCTTCCATAACGTTTTAATATTTCGCGCGAATAATCATATTTTTCTTCAGGAAAATATAGATATCCATATGTTATTGTAACAATCTCGTATTATGTATTCCCGAACAGTGATTCGATATAAATGTTAACATTGTTACTGTTAGTATCCTTTATAGGGCTTCAAGTGTTTGAATTGGTAAAAAGAGTTATTATTTTAAGGTTAAAATGTTTATCATACCCCCTCACTCAAAAAATTTCATCACTTGTATTTTCTTTAAAAAAAAAAAAATCGAATCGACATTTTGGAAGAAATGTTTAGCATCATCAGAATAACTATCTAACATCGAATTATTCACTATTGATTATTTCCACAGATGGAAAAGAAACATTGGGGTAAATTCCCATCTCGAATTTCCTTTTTATCTGTAAGAGTTTTTGATGATAATTCTCGAGATGTTTTTTTTTCGAAGGTTTGTAAGACTTGGAATATTTTTCAGCAATATATTTCCACACCATTGTTGTTTTCAAAAAACTCCAACATAAATCATCATCATCTTCATTATCAAAGTTAAGCAAAATATTACAATCTGTATAATACTGGATACCGTAATATGGTATGATGTTAACAAAAATCTTGAATATCATTGATGTTGCTATATGTTCCGATGGACTATATATTGTTATCGATGCATTCTTTCGCATGTCCGTTAAAAACACTTGTCTCTCTTTTAGATTCAAGATATTCAGTTGCCTGTCAATCAATACGGGCAGGACTGCACGCTGGGAATCGCCCCAGAGCGCCTCTCTACGACCGGAGAGGATCCCGCGACACAGCAGTCCTAGCTGCGACGATTGGTGACACAGGCAGTTCAGCGCACTACAATTGTCGCTCCAGGATCTCCGTAATTTTGTGTTATCGTTGTTGATTGCGTGGTACACTAACATGTTTTCAAATATAAAATCGCGATCCTCCACCTTCCACTCCTCACCCCAGTCATAATAATACGCTTCTCTATGTTCGTTAGATGATAGCGTATTGATATAACTCTGAACGCTACAAGTCGGAGTATACACTTCTCTTTGTTCGTAACAAGCGACTACGGAATCGATAAAGTCCTGAACGCTATAAGTCAGGGCGATGCTGCTCTGATGCGCTGCTCTTTCGACGTTTGCATTGGCCGCGTTATCAAAGTAGAGAATCTCTGCGTAGAGCGGTTTGGACTTGTATTGCATCTGCAGAAGCAGGCAGAGATCGCAAGTGCCCCTCTTGCCGAGGGTGTAATACACGACGTCAACCGAGTCGGGCTCGACTCTAAAGTTGTTCAGCTCCTCGTCTGTCCATAACTCTTTCTCGTGCTCGGGAAAGGTTAGGACTGCAAACTCGTTCCGCCGTCCGGGGATGAATGCTTCGAAGATGTTAATGTCAGTAAAACAGTCTAATTTAATATTAATATTAAATGGAAAACTTTTTCCACGGAAATACAAATACGAGTATTGTATCACTTCAACTCCCGATTTAGAAATATCCTTCATCTTAAAAACATGCGAGCTTGAACGAGTTGATGCTTAAATATTAAATTGTGTAACACTCACCCTTAATTCCAGTCTAAAAAAATATTCGTTTTTTATAATTATTAAATACCTTTATTTGTTACACTATCAATCGGACCACAGATGGAAAAGAAACAATGGGGATTCTCGAGATTTATATTTATTGAAGATTATCAATAGTCGTCATCGTTGACCACCACGGACAGGAAAGAAACGTTAGGATAAATTGTTGTCTCGAATTTCTTTTTCATCTCCAAGTTTTTTGATGAAGGTGCATAATATGACATGCGAATAACAGAATAACCATGCATTCTTTTGCGAATGCATGTCTGCTATAAACGCTCTTCTCTCTTTTAGATTTACGATGCTTAGTTGCCTGCCGATCAATGCGGGCATGACCGCACGCTTGGAATCGCCCCAGAGCGCCTCTCTGTGAGAGGAGACGATCCCGCGGTACAGCTGTCCCAGCATCGGCGACTGGCGACACAGGCATTTCAGCGGCGGCGCACAACCGTTACCGCTCCAGGACCTTCGTAATTTGGCGTTAGCGTCGTTAGTATTATTATTATTATTATTGCCCCATACTATTGCGTGGTGCACTAGCATGTTTTCAAATATGAAATCGCGATCTTCCACCTCCCACTCCTCACTCCAACGATCAGAGTCAAGAATATACTCTTCTCTATATTCGTAACAAAGACACCACGGAATCGATAAAGTCCTGAACACTATAGGTCAGGACGATGCTGCTCTGAAGCGCTGCTCTTTCGACGTTTGCATCGGCCGCGTTATCAAAGTAGAGAATTTCCGCGTAGAGCGGTCTGGACTTGTATTGCATCCGCAGAAGCAGGCAGAGATCGCAAGTGCCCCTCTTGCCGAGGGTGTAATACACGAGGTCAACCGAGTCGGGTTCGATCCTAAAGTCGAGCAGCTCCTCATCTGTCCATAATGTTTTCTCGTGATCGGGAAAGGTCAGGACCGCGAACTCGTCCCGCCGTTCGGGGATGAACGTCTTGAAGATGTCGATATCATCATCAGTAGATATATCATTTTTAATGCCGATATTATTTCGACAGCAATCCTTTCCGGGAATATATATATACCCACAATCTAATACATCCACACCTGATTGGGGATACGCCATCTTGAAAGTAGTACGAGTTGGATGAAATGGCGTTTAAACAATTATATTGTGTCGTATATACCCAAAATTTCTATCTAATATATGAAATAATCATTTAGTGTTTTTATGATAATAAAGAGGTTTTTCGTAACACTCGTGTAGATATCCAGTCACTTCATTCCTGTGCTTCCAAAACCTCTACACCCTCTACCCTTCACATCTAACTCTTCAACCTTTTCTAAACAAGCAACGCCAAGTGAACTAACCACAAACACAGAAATGATTCTCTCTCCCTTCTTGAGAATATTCTTCCACGCATAGTCATTTTTAAACACGAGCACTATCTCTTCGGTATCACTGTTAATCTCCCAAGACATTACATCGATACCTTTCTTAATAGACATAATATCTGCAATCAGATTCTGCTCTTTAAATGTGTTTAACTCTACAAAAACTCCAGTGCATATCTTGGTAATATTGTGTGTTAATTGTAAGTCTTGTTGCATGAAAAATGTGAAGAGAAAATTATTCTCTCTTAAAACTGAAAATATTCCCATGTCTTTCTGCTTCTTATAAAAGAGATTTGATTCATTAATGACAGTGATCATATTTCCATCGATAGGTTTAACGTTCTCGGGATGTTTGATTTCGATAATTTCCCGTATCGGACACGCAATATTGTACACGACGCCCATTGCTACGGGTTGTTTAGCTCTCACCCTTAGAGTATTGCCACTGCTCCGATTATTAATTAGTACCTTCACCTCCCCTCTATAGTCTGCGTCTATGACACCCGCCTGCACATTGATATCAGAATAACACGGAGAGAGCGGCGGTGACTGGAGCTGCATGTAGCACGACATGGAAGGAAGGCTGACGGCGATACCGGTACCTACCAACTTTGACGAATCAGGAGGTATCGAGCAATCTTCCGCGGCTAGAAAGACAGGCATCTTACCCATTCCATTGTAATCCTTGAGCAATAAGATAGAATTTTTGTCGCTACCGATGAGCTTGTATTTGACCGATCCTCCTACCGTCTTCTCTTTGGTAGTCAGGTGCACTATGGCTTGTGCGAACCTCGTTCCCGCTTCCATCTCATACTCCTTACTCCCAGTATTGACAACAGTGACTATAATCTCGTTATTAAGCTCCTCAAAGTGATGAGAAACGACATTGATATTGTGGTTTAACGCCATTCCAGACCTCGAGCGAATCTTAAGAAAAAACGATGCATCATCCAAAATTTTACAAGATTTCTTGCAGGATGATTGGAAAGGAACACAATACTTTCCTTCCTCCTTCTCCTTTTTGCGTCGTTCTTCACTTCCTTCAATTTGTGAATTTTGCTGTTGCTGGCGACCCTTGAGACAAATTTTAAAGCCACGCCGGTTCTTATCTCTGCCCAGTGATTAGAGGGTATCGTACACGGGAATAGACTATATAGGTCTGAACCAGCAGAGAACTCCAGGCCAATTTTGGGAATAAAGGCGTCATTGTGCACCTTGTAAAAACCCATATAGTAATCGTTATTTTTTTGCTTTATTGTGATTAGACATTTGTGTTGTCAGTTCTTATCAAAAAGACCAAGTGAAAGTTGCTAGAAAATAATAACCTCTCTCTCTCTCTCATTGTATTTTAAACATGACTGGTATTCTTTAAAAGAGTTTACCTCCCACCTTTTTTTTTATTTCATTTTCTCTTATACTAATATATTAAAGAAAACGAATAACTTTGCTTGAATTATCATATGGATAACGAAACTATTAGCGATAAAAATTGCGAAGGTTTATTTCCTGTTAATGAATGGATAATAATTATAAAAGTCGTCTGTATTTTTCATCTTATTTAAATTGTATACCATAATAAATTTGAAGTGTTTTTTTTATTAAATTAATTCAAAGGCAAACTGACTTATGAGTCTCTCGTATTTCACCCAGTTGCCACCAGCTGCCCCACAACCTATCTCATAGGGGAATACGATAGTATCGATATCTCTATACACTTATTAAATCGTCGAGTAGACGATCCAGACAAGCTTTAAAATATGCTTCACGATATAACTTACTATCGTTTATAACAATATGACCATCCATATATTCATCCCTTATAGCATATCTGTTTCCGATAAAGAGATTAGCAACACAAGGGACACCTTTACAAAATTCGATGGTTCCAGGATATCCTCTTGTATCTATACTAGTAATGTTACAAATATTTGCCTTTCTATATTTAGGGTCAAAAACATCCCCCTCATCGAGGTCATAGGCTATTACAATATTCATACCTCTTGTATGTACACTTGCAACGTTTATGACTATAATTGGTAGTTTGGAGTTTGGAATTGATATATCTAATGTCTATACATCTACATGCTTGTTTAACTATAAACATATGTATTTATAACCCGCATGTATTATCATTTATTTTCATAAATTATTTCTATTGCAACCCACCAGTTGAATTTGTTTCAGAGCGATATTATTAATTAATCTTATTATGTTTTATCTTAAAAAAAAAAACAACCGTCAAACATATTTTCATTTAAAGAGGTAAAAAATATTTAGCAACATAAACATGCGCGCGCCTAACGGAATTGTAGCCTCTTGTGCGATATAGTGTAGCAAGCAAGTATCAGTAGCAACATATAATAATAATAATAACAGTAGTTATAATGGATCATGGATCTAAAACACATCATGAGAAATGATGTATTACTGACTAGCATTACTCTTCCTAATAAAGATGATGATTATAATGAATTGTATCTACAATATCTACAAAGTGATAAAGATACCATAATACCCCAGTTTAGTACAGATGTATACCATCTATATTTTGAAGATGAATCTGAAATTCATTCTTTGACTGGACGACGATTGCAACGACATGGATAAGAAGATCGAAGATCGATAATAGATAATAGTAGAAAAAAAGACGAAGAGGATTATCATCGTCTTCGTCGTCATCATCATCATCATCACCTTGATTTATCGGGTATTCGTCTGCATTATTATCGTCGTCACGGAATATATCTGGAAAATCTTCATATAGTTGTTTATAAAATTCAAAATCTATATTGTCATCTTTTACACGACTAAAGCACGAGGAGGGATACCGCCTGTGACGTTTTTGTTTTTCAATGACGGATAAAAAGGTCTTGTACTGTGACGGTTTGGCCAAGAGTGCAATCAGTGAATGGGTGCTCGACAAGTCAAGAAACTTGAGCACGGGAGAATTGGCCGATAACCATTTTATCATCGTGCGGGCAGACATTCTCGCGCTCCTATCAATACTCAGAACGCTGACAATGATACACATTTCGTATATGGCTTTAGTGGCTTCTATCAAAGTATTCTTAAAGATGGGAACATTGTCGATAGTCTCGTACACCATGTCCATCTCGACCGATAGGTCATCGAGAGATGAAAAATAAATATCAGAATGATCTTTGCCAAAAAAATTACTCACTCTATGATAAGGTGAAGTGAGCATGGATAGTGTAGTCCAAGAGAAATTATTGTTTATGCTATTATCGACAAGTTTATTATCATCTCTATTATTCATTTGGTCACACATAATCGATAAGACCTCTTCAATATTCTTTATCTTACTGTTTGCATTATAATCTCGATGAAAGTCCGATGCCGTTAAAAGATATTTGGTATGCCTGCATATCTCTTTCGCTCTCGATATTAAATCTTTCGAATAGAGAGAGAGGCACCTCGCGAGGGATAAGCTCAGACCGTTTGGATTAGACATGATGTTATCAAGTGACATGTTAAAGGTCGAGTCGGACATTGGTAGAGTTTCGAGTGCTCTGTTGCCAATTAATGTCGTTTCCCAATTGGTATATTCGTTTTCTTTTAGCTTTAGCATGGGATTATAAAAAGAAGACAACATTCGTATCTGACCATATGTCAGAGTATCCTCGTTGTCGGTAACGATTCTATCGAACAGAGGTAGAGCTTTTCGAGAGAAATGAGAGGTGGGCATCTTCCAACAATGTCGCACTTGCAGATCGCAGCAGTCGCCGTTACCGCCGTCACTGTCGACGCGATACCCCACGGCCACGGCAGCATTGTTAAAGTGTTTAGCCAAATACGAGACGGCCCTCGTGGTTGCACCGTCGTCTTTGCCACACATGTCTTGGGGTAGATCTATAAGACCCAACATCAAAGAAGAAGGATCTATATTTCTTACGGAATCGACCGTTGTTGTAAAAAATTATCAACACACTTTGAAAAAAGAGTTTCTGACGGAATCCACACGTTGGAGAGAGCGAGCGCGTGAGGTGGTAAAGGGAAGAAGGCGTTTTGTTTGCGAGATATGGTCAAGACGACATTGGCGTACAGTGACTTGATAAAGTTTAGTAGAGGAGATGTGTCCAGCACCGAGGTCACCGTGTGTAATATATACGAAAAGACGAGAGCGTTTTGATAAACGCTCTGTGCGCTTTTGAGGTTGAAATCGGACGGATTTGTTATGACATCTTTTAGGTTGTTAGCCGAACGGTTGATGACTTCTAAACCCTGAATTTCAGGATGTATATGTTTCAAGTACTGATATACCGAAGAGTAGGTGTAATTCTTTGGCACCTGAATGAAATATTTGTCGTTCCCACGTCAAACACTAAAATTATATCATTCTCGAATCGATAATTATTGTTAATATCTTGTCTATTCAGTTTTTTTTTTAAGGCGTCTGAAAAAACTTCTACAATATTATTATAACTTGATAATGATTCACTACTACTGATTCTAATATCTTTGAAAACGGGTTTTAACTTCATCATAGATTCGGTGCAAGAACTTATAAACTGAATAAAAGATTGAAGCTGAGCTTTATTATTATCTGGTACTATGTCTTTAAAGGGGATCGTCATTTCTTGAATACCTTTTTCTTTTAAAAGTTTGACTCCCAGACACTTTTCATTGTCATCATTGTTGTCGTCTGAGATAAAGTACGTTAAACTACTCAGTATATCTTCGACTATTTTAGCAATATTGTTAGAGTTGATGAGTTTTACTACTCCTTCTTCTCGCTTGCCTCTTCTCTCTTCTTTCTTTAGCTGGTCATGCCTGTTTATAATTTCTGTTACTGTGAAATCGTTAATATTTCTAAAATACTGATCGTGGTTTGCTCTCGTCTCCATATAATCCTTGTACATTAGAGTACCGACATTGTCCGTAAACGTATCTATAAGATTCCTGCCGTTAATGCCAACGATGGAAAAGAAGGCTGTGTTGAGCCAAACGTAACTGACAAGATTAATAAACATCTGTTCTGTCATACCTCCTGAGAGGACGAGTTCGGTTAGTCGTCTTATCTGTTGGGAAGTTTTATTGTGCAAGCATTTATCCAAATAGACTTTATAGGCAATAAGTTTCGAAATAACAAAGACCGGTAAGCGTACAACATTGCGGTTAAAACCTCCGGGACCGTGCAGGTTGAAGGGACTCGTTTCTACCATAATGTAGACCGGCCTATCTGTCAGAGACGAGCTCTCGCGAGATCCAGTCAGCAGCGTCGAAAAAGCAACACCCGCATTCCGTTCGTTACCCCAAGCTCTGTTTACATTGTCAATGTTCTTGATATAGCTGGCAATGTTTTTCTGCGACAGGTTATTGAGAGCTCGCATGCGCTGAGGTTCCGCCGTAAAGTTTGATGTTTCGTCGATTCCTCCAAGATGAAGGTTAATCGAACCTTGTAGTAGCATGTTGCTAATATTTGTCAAGTATTTGGATAAGGCAGTTAAATTAGACTTTCGGTGTTCGTCCAGGGGAAATCTAAACGTCTTGTCCAGCTTGAGGAAACCTCTCAAATTTAAGACTGTGGCCACATCGTGAGGCAAGCTAGCTATGATGTGTTCATCGTCTCGTCTTCTTCTCATCTTATCACTACCGTCGACGCTTCCTCCTTCACCAAGGGACGCACTGTCGATATTTAAATTCCCTAAGGATCTCTCGGTATTGTTGATGGTGTATAACAATGTATCGTAAAGCGAATTCTTAGCACTCTCGTAAATGGGCACATTTTGACCACCCTCTCCAATATCAGCAATGAGTTTTCTCTCGGTGTGAGCTAGATCGTGTAAAAGCGAAACAATTTTAGCATTGCTGAATGTCGCTAGTGCGTCTGTATTTGAATCACGGTGGGGTTGATACATCCACTGGGTTAGAGCTGTTCCCAGTTCGTGTAGACACTCTCTGGCGTACTTTGCGTTGACCTTCATTCGCCTCTGTTGTGTCTTCGAGAACGAATTGACAGTAATCTCTTTTCCATGACGGTCAACGATACGAACAGGACCATGGCCGCACTTTGCCAGAGCCGTTTTTGCTAACAATACCCCGGTGCCTATGCTACTCCTATTAATGCCGGCTTGGGTCATCTGAACAACTGACCTGAACCAATCAATAAAGACTTTATTTTTAAGATGATTATCGCTTGGGATTGCTTGTCCCCAAAATATAGGAACACATCCTTGTAGCAGAGCATTTTTATCTTCTTCTTCTTTTT